TTTTTTTTTTTTGCAATACACCAATACTTTAATAACAGCTGCAAGAAGATTTTTTTTAGTTAGTATCCAACTTTGTTAAAGAATTTTTATTACTAAAAATCAAAATTTAAAAAGCTTATTGATTTTTAGTGTCAGATCAATTGATGTGTTCAATTGCAGTGTTGATCTCCAGTTATTGCTTATGTTTTATTGCCGTAGACCGATATCGAAGTATTGTCACCCAAACCCGGATACCGTGGGATGTTAATAATGCCTACGTTCTAGTGGCTATATCTTGGGCAGCTTCATTTGCTGCATCATCACCACTGTACTATACTCAGGGACTTAAAACGATTCAGTTCCATAATGATACCTTCTGTGGAATGGTTAGTTGGCTATCCTTTTGCTCAACCTTCTTTTCATTTGTCCACAATTCATACCGATAACTGCTCATCAGTTATACTGTTTCAAGTATCGTACATCATGTGCAGTCAACAAAAATTTTTTTTTTTTTGGCTTTTAAAGTACTTTTTTCCGCACTGTTAAAGGTATCAGTAATAATATAATTTGACTATTACATCTCTTCTGTTTTATACCATCTATCGCTTATGTTTCAGTTTTGTGGTGAATATAATTGGCCCAAAAATAGACGTATTAAAACTGCATATGGCTCTGTGATATTTGCTTTTCAGTATCTTTTTCCAGTGGCTATTATGTCATTTTGTTACTGGAAAATTCTAATAAAGGTATGTTTAGAAAACCAAAATTTTTTCTATTCTTAATTCTTAAAATAACAATTCCTATTGTCGGTAAACATCCTTAATTTATTTATCAAATTCTCATCCACATTAAACTGTTTAATTTAAACAGGTCAATGTAAACCAGCAAATGCGATTACGATAGATTAACAAATAACAGACTGATCTTAAAAGCTGATAATTTGATGACACATCAAGAATATTGGCTATTCCAATATTTCATTTCTGTTTCTAGTTGCTTTCGAAGTACCTAAAATTTACCATAAGTCAGGGTACTTTAATTTTACTGCTATTTCTGTTCTTCATAGATTCTTTCAAAGCTGTTCCTCTCTCCCTCATCAATTCTCAAAAATAAAAAACCAGTTCAATTCAGGCAGTGTAAAACTGCGGTACAGTAGCTCAGTGCTACTACCAATAAAAAATGCCTAATATTATACAACTACTCTTGGCATACTAAGTTTTGTAGCACCATTACTTGAGTTCCTGTTTTTGATACAAAATTTTACACTGTGTAGCGGTTAACATCAGTGAGTTTAACAATAATTTACAAATGTTACATCGTTCACCGCTAATGTTTCTCTCCATTCCCAGTGGTCCTTAGCAATTAGCAAAAAAAAATAAAATAAAATAAAATAAAGCCAACTAAAATGTAACTATTCCTAAAAGTGAAAATTTTTTTTTATTTTCGCAAATTTACCGCCAAAAAAAAGGATTTACTTGTTCTTTCCTCCCTCTCTTCCTCCCCTTCCCCCCCCCC